GGAATCCATGCCGCAGCACTTGAGCTGGACGTGTCCTCATCCTTGAGACGAATAAGTATAGCAACTAGATCAGCACAAGGCCACAAGTATTAGTATAACACAAGACATGTAATCGTATCTACTAGTACAATGCATGGTGTGTACGATGTGATATACATTGTACATGCTCATGTACATTTTTATGATTCCATTCTTTGAAGTTTGATCCTGGAAGAGTGAGTACTACCGGTAAGCCCACGCTACGCCGGTCCTATAAACATACATGTACGTCATCATGTACCACTGACACTTGCCAATTCCAATCTTGTATCGCTGCACAGGGTACCTTGATCTGCATGCACAGGGTACCCTGCAGGCCTGCTTGACCTGCATGCACATGCATACGCCACGGGTGGAATTCAATTGCTGTATTTCACCTGTTTCCTAGCTAGGTTTTACTATATGTCGAGTATGCACTTCCTCTGATACTGGGACTACTAGGAGCAGTTGTCAAAGCAGGTTAGTTCGCTGACGAACTGACTCATGACTGTGATCGTCCGGAGGCGCTTCCTCCTTTGATCTTCAAGAGACGAGATCAAGAGTGCTGAGTGATTGAGTGATGATGGTGTTTTGTCGACCAGGCTAGTGGATGTAAAAGTGGATTACAGTTCACACAGTAAGTGTGGGACTCGCAGAGATGACGTCAAGTGTCCAAGGTACTAGTAGTACTAGTAGCCTATGCCTGTGGGATGGGCATAACCCCCCGGGCCCCGAGGTTGCGGCCTCTTACTCAGTGTAGAAAGAAGCAGCGAGGCGTGTAAGGCTTTATACGATTCCTGATGAGGCTGGGACCCCCGCGACCCGCATTGGCGTCGACCAGATACAAGTAACAAAGACTTTAACCCTAGAACTACCAAATTTTCAACTGCTGTACTCTAGAATTACCGGAGGCATCATACGACTCCACCGGACTTCACCATGCATGTACATATTTATAAGAAGAAAAGATGACTAAAGAGCTAACTGTAACAGTGTAAGTGTTACATGTAAGTTACGCTACAATATCCACTAACACCACCAGTTACTTTTCAATCAGCTCATGCGGTTACATGCATGACACTCAATCGACCAATGGTACTGACGTACTACACCTAACTGGCAATCAGCTCTAGCACATCTCGGCCCGGATGCGCACTCCAACATGTTAACAGCCTTCTAACTAAGGTTCTAAGTAACTTAGTTATACCGTAGAATCCCGCGGATAAGCCCATGGGCTTATCTGTTTCACAAGGACATTTCGGTGGGCTTATACGAGAACATGGGCTTATACGCAGACATGGGCTTATACGCCGACACCAAGTTGTGTATCAAGGAAGTGAGAAGTACATTGCTGAAAACCACTGTGTAACAAAAACAACCGATGATTGTGCTGAAATGTACGGAAAAAACTATAATGTGCACGTACTATGTACATGGTATGGCCAAGAGTCCATAATTTATGGACTCTCGGTATGACCTATAATGTAGGCCCATGGGCTTGTACGATGAAGCTTTGTGATGTTCGAACAAACCCTGGGCTTATGCGCGGGCATGGGCTTATACGCGGGTGGGCTTATCCGCGGGATTCTACGGTACTTCTAGAAATAACATAAGGAGGGGAAGGTGAGCGCAACCACTGGGCAAGCACGAGCTGAAAGTCTCAGCTGTGAAGGACTCTGGCGGATGTACATGACTATGTCGAAGATGATACTGGTAAGACGTTGGTCAGTGTCGTGCAATGTTATCGCATATGAGCTGATTGTAAAGTAACTGCAGGCGCGTCGCACCGACTTTGGAGGTGGGGCGGCCATGGAAGGGTCCGGGGTCCTCCCCGGGAAAAAAATTCAAAAATTGAAGCCAATTGCAAGCATTTCCGGGCATTTTGTGCCATTTCAGTGTACAGTAACTACAATGAAAGACTTTTTGATTCTGCAAAAACCAAGAAGATGCTACGATCGGGAACAAACATTACCCAGGCTCCCCCGGGAAAAAATTTCAAAATTTGAAGCCAATTGCAAGCATTCCCAGGCATTGGTGCCATTTCAGTGTACATGGACTTTTGATTCTGCAACAAACCACGATCAGGGACAAGGATTTGCCACGTTTGCGCTGAGATCATCGCGCTTTGTTGCAGTGTGTTAAAAAAAAAACGGCCGAAAAAGTGCCGGTGCGGTTCCGACGCCCTTGATACCGGTGATGTTATTGGATATTATAGCGTAACTAAATTACGTGTGGCTCTTTGGTCCTCTTTTCTTCTTATAAATAACTAATTAATCCTTGGCTCTCCACCTGAGCTGAGTCTAATGATTTACATATTTGGTATTCTGGTATTCTTTTTGGCGATATGAATAGAAATGGAAGTCCTTGGGTTGAAATGGTACCTTTTAAAAGGAAGGAGGTGCCGCATGCCCTATTTTGGAGACCAGCAGCTGGCGTTTCACGCAGCGAAAGGGCTCGAAATTCTCGTCGGTTTACAGCAAACTAAACTGAAGCATTTGCTTGCCAGGTTTATCCTGCAGTCTCTACATTTCAGTCTACTACCCCAGAAATAGCTGCAGCTTCGCCATCGTTCTCGATTTACTTGAGCAATGTTGCTCATTCTTTCACTTCGGCAATAAACACATGTACGAGCGAAAGCGGAATTGGTTTCGTGAGTCAATCGCGACTCGTAGCAAACAAATCGTTTCCGTTCGCCGCCGTGTCTGGTGACCATCTTTGTGATCAAACCTGAAGACTGAAGTAGCAGAGTAGTTCCTGGAAACTATTTCTACGCATTTTTACTTGATTATGTCGCGTCCATTCTTATCCAGCCGAAGGGCCGTCCGCGGATTATTATGGGTTCAGAGGACGCCTTTTGTGGCGATAAGTTGAGAAACAAATGCCGTGAAATCGCCTTCACTCAAAATAGAGTTCTCTCCAATTTACCGTTTTCCTCCTATCTTGTGCACTCTATCATTAAATTGATCCTATGCTGGTCAATAAGCGCGGATATAATTGGGGCCGTCCAAGATTACCAATAGTATTTTCAAAACGAAATGTTTTCGTTTGGGGGTGGGTGGGTTTTAGGAGTTTCGTTTTGAAAATAAATATTGAATGTACATGGAGAATGCCCAGTTACTTCTGGGTGCCGACGATTGTAATCATAGTTTGTTGTACTGCATTTAACCTGCAGAAAGAGTGGGTGGGTGGTCGGGGGTTGACACAAACTAAAACCTTTCGTTTTGCAAAAAAAACAACCAGTGTTAAACCCCGGACGGCCCCGAATATTGTGCCGTTATTCGCGAGTTGTTGTTATACCCTAGGCCGTTCTTCACGAGGTTGACTGTAGTACAAGTTCTATACCGGTACCTTGAAACAGTGGACTATTATTAGTGCCTGTACTGTGAGCTAGTACTCGTGAAAGCAAATACATAGAGCTGCCCGTAAGTAATACGTCGATACTTGCAACGTTTAACTCGGATTTTGTGCCATTTTGTCGCACTCGCTGACTGTATAAGATTTGGTTACGTTGGTGGACAGTTAGTCATAACTCGTAACATTTTGTCCTTCTTCTTTTCACAATAATTGCAACGAGTGAACTTTACTGAAGACTACAGTAGTTGGGAAAGAGGAGCAATGACTTGTGGCCATCATAAAGGCAAAGACAAGCAAAACAGGTGATCACAAAGTACCTAGAGACAGCTATACGTACAGAATAAATAATCACGAAAGAGTGCAATGCTGATGTTGTAGACCTGACGATCACCGCAAAACAAACTGATTGAAGTGTTTATGCGGGGGGGGGGGTGTAGATGCCTGATCCGTGCCAAATACAGTACTGCTCAATGAAATCCAGTCGCGTCACTCAAGTACACGCCGGGCGTTGCGCAGCCCTAGACCTGCGCACACTCAAGTTGGCTGTGCAATGGTGCGAGGCGCAAACTTGAGTGACACGCCGGACTGGATTTCATTGACAAGACTGGATTTCATTGAGCAGCACTGTACAAAACAAGCTAAGTCAAATCAACTGGATCTGGAGGCTTTCCAAAAATTTGAACAATAAAAAATCCGGATAGTGGCCAAATTTATAGGCTGACCAACCCTTCCACACCCCCACCACTCCTGCCCTTTTGGAAATGATAGCTTTTGAGTTCTCCAACAATGTTATAATGTGGGTTTTTATTCATTCGTCAGCGTGTTTGTATATGGATACTCCACTAAAACTATGTCTTATCCACGACCCCCACACAATGCTCTCTCTGCCAGGCTAAAGCTGGATCCGCTCCAGTAGAAGAAAATAGATTGAAGAGCTTGTGTGTTCAACCCGAGAAAAGCAAAGACCCGGCTTCATTACGATTCCCTGCAAGCTTACATGTCAGGTGCCGAAACATCATTAGCTTGATAAATTTTTACAAGTTTTAGATCAGACAACCACACAGCAATCAACCTACTTGTGCGATGTCAAGCATGGCCGTGCAATCTGTCGCTTTTGAAAAATAAAAGAATTCCCCGGGCATTTAACCATCCACTCTCTTCTAGCCACAATCCGAATTTTCTATTTACCAAAACTTACGGACTGCGGCCCTTGTTAGTGCTATACGGTAACTTGTACAGCAGTAGCACCAGAAAACCGTGAATAGTAGCAGCAGCAGCAGCAGCAGCAGCAGCAGCAGCAGCAGCAGCAGCAGCAGCAGTAGCTACATGTACTGACAACTAACCACTAACTAGCCCGGTGTTCATTCCTAGCTGTCCCAAACTACTTTCTCAAACCGCTTGCTTTCCAAGGAGCGGTAAATAGCCCAGGCAATGCGAGGCTCGCCACTGCAATACATGGCGTCGGCATCGAGTGGCTTATTGTCCAGCACCGCACTGACAAACGCTTCGATCTCCGGTGGAAAGGATTCCACGTAGCCGAGAGCTGGGCCCTGACTCTCACCATTCACATGCTCACGGTCGTATACGGTCACACCTCCTTTGAAACCTCCACCAATGGTTATCTCACCCTGGATCAGAAAAGCATAAGCGTAGGAAGACCAAAAAAGGTCATTTCAAAAATGCAATCAATTACTGGTACAAGCATATTCCAGTTTGCACGGTTGGACACAATCCAGAAGGCATTTCAGCAGTTATTACACCAGTATACTAGCGCTTTGGCCGAGTGGTTGTGCCTTGTGGGCTTGCCTGCGAATCACAAGATCCCGAGTTCGAGACCTGCGCTGGGAGCAGGGAGCGTGTACTGTGCTAACAAATGCAGTGATGCATGCGTGAACCACTATACCTGCAAGGAAATGTGCCGGCACCCACGGTCAACTGGGTACTCACTACTGGGAGTGAGGGTAACATGGATGCAGCTAACGAGGTTTGCCCCCTTGTCAGGGCATTGGTTGTGAGAGTTACCACCTCACCCTCGCCGTTAGGCGCTGCATCTGCCACCCTGGTATTACAGGCATGGTGGTGGCCTGGCACGAGAGAAACTTCCTAAGCTGGTTCAGTGGTTGTGTTTCTCAACACAATTGTATAGCCGGTGGTAACGCGGACGTGCAAACTTTACTTTACTTTTTGTTACACCAGTATTCCAATCAGTGCATGGGATCTTGTAGCTACCATGAACTTTCAAGCCATGCAGTGCATTACACTGGACTAAGTATGTAACGCCACGCCATGATTTGCATCAGGCTTAGCTCAGGTTGTACGGCTAGCCAGGTTTCTGGTCGTGTTCTACTGTACTGGAAACGACAAACCAACATCACAGGACTTCCTATCCATTGCAACAGCCTGATGATTTCCAAAATGCTGCATCGTGACTAGTACGGTACCTTTGATCCATATACTTGAAAGAACGGCGTGTCCGATAAGGCATGGCTTGCATACATCCCATGGAAGCAAGCGGTCTTTCCATTCTTGAATCTCAGCAGTGCCTGTGCCTGCGTTTCATATCCGGCTGGCATGCCCTCATATGCGCTTTCACTGACAGTGCCCACCACTTCACCCACTTCACCCAGCCTTACACGACCAGCATGGCATCACATCCACTTCACCCAGCCTTACACGACCAGCATGGCATCAGCACTTCACCCAGCCTTACACGACCAGCATGGCATTACATCCACTTCACCCAGCCTTACACGACCAGCATGGCATCAGCACTTCACCCAGCCTTACACGACCAGCATGGCATTACATCCACTTCACCCAGCCTTACACGACCAGCATGGCATCAGCACTTCACCCAGCCTTACACGACCAGCATGGCATTACATCCACTTCACCCAGCCTTACACGACCAGCATGGCATCAGCACTTCACCCAGCCTTACACGACCAGCATGGCATCAGCACTTCACCCAGCCTTACACCACCAGCATGCCATCAGCACTTCACCCAGCCTTACACGACCAGCATGGCATCAGAAAGCAGCAAACAAGCAAAACACAACAACAAACATAGGTGTAATGAGACATAAATCTCACTAAGAAATGTCACTGGCGAGCACTCCAAGCAAACTGCAGTTTGCTAAAGAAAGTACCTACATACTTAAATCAAGGTGAATACCCCTTGGCGCACGCTGTCCATCAGTAAACACACATTTCCTTTGCAGAGTTTGCCATGAAAATCATGGATAATGCTACGCTTTAAATTTTCTAACATGACTTGTAAACTGAACCAAGGCAATGGACGATCTCAGTGGTGTTGGCTGAAATCACAAGTCAACCATGGCAGACAATTATGTATTGGCATTGGTTTAGCATCGGGCCCTTACCACATCCGTAGTGGTCTCAGCCAGTGACAACTACCATTCATTAGGATTCCACCGCCGACCCGGGATGGATCACATCCCCAGTGTGTGCTGCCGTCCACATCCTTCATGAATGGCGAGCTTAGAAATGAACAACGCATCCATGCACGCACGCACAAATATACACACACAAACATTACTTACGCACACACCCACACACACACACACACGCACACACACACACACACACACACACACACACACACACACACACACACACACACACCATTGGACCATTGGACGCCCATCGCCGGAGGCGATGATAGCGATGCTACAGCAGAAGCCATGCAGCTTGTGCTGGGATTGCACCATTCAACAGATTGCAAGGCTGAAGAATTGACCGCCACTATTCAGCCTGGTCTACACCACACAGCTATGAAGTGGCTTTTTCTGGCCAGTGAATCCCTACTTTTTGGACCACACACACACACACACACACACACACACACACACACACACACAAACACACACACACACACACACACACACACACACACACACACACACACATTGATTGGGAAAGAAAGCTATAAAATTATAATGCTCAACATTTCTCAGATCCTGGTCTTTTCTCGCATGTTGTTCTGTACTGGACGGTATCTCTCACCGTCAGCGGAAGTACATGACAGCCTGGATGGGCTTTTTTGCAGCGTTTCACGGGTCAACAACTTGTGAGACGGGTATGTCTCTCTATACGATGACCGTGGTTGTCAATATAATTGAATTGCTACTTCCTCCAGAAAAAAACTTTGTGACTTCAATCAACCGATCAGTTCTTGTGTATTGAGCTCTGAGGAATCAAGCAATGGTGACTCCAAGTGACACTGAAACGGTGTCTTTCTTTTTAGGGCTGAAACGACCATTCAATAACTCCTAACCATCAACCAATACCATTAACGATCGATATAGGTTTTATCGATTCTTGTCGGCTCTATCGAACACCAGTTTATGATGAAATTTTACGATGCCTTTGCTGCGTTAGAAATTTGTGGCACCGCACTGCTGACATCTGTAGATATATGGCTGGTTTTACAATGTATCAACATGAACTACTCAAGTTGAGAACTTCATGTTGTTTTCACTCACAAAGCGACTGTTCAGTACATGGGGTAGTGGTCTACCAGAGCAATCACACTCACCACCGTGGTGGTTTTCCAGAAATGAGTAGAAGCAAAAAACCACACTCGCAGCCACATAATAGATAAATAGCCGAAAAACATCTAAATCCATCAAAGAACCGCCAGCAAGCGGGAGAAAAGGCCGTGAAATCAAGTGAAACAGCATGGCCAGTGGTGAGCATGGATGACTGGGCAGCAGGGGAGCGCCTGAAACACATTGACTCCCTACATTCCTAGCCGCGACCGCTCAACCGGGCTAGAGGAAAAACACGCCTTTCGGCCAAAAAACCTTTCTATTTCATTAATTCCTGCCCCGCTGCCAGTCAGACCCAAGAATAGAGATAGCAAGAAATGGTATGTAATAACCGGTGTATGTCATAATCATAAGCCACACACATAGGCATAGACTGTCAAGAAGAACAGTGGACGACTCCCATGAAACCAGGGTGGGTGGGCGGGCAACTTCAACTACCACGAGGAAAAACAAAGACCACGATGGCAGGTTCAACGGAGTTGCGCAGAACAAGAGCAAATGCACGAAAATATTTGTGAGTGAAAAATACGTTTTTTGCACTCTTTCGCTACGCTCAGCCATGAAAAAACAAAACTTTCTAGAGCGGAGAATCTTGTCATCACCCTCTGGCAACTACTCTCATCTCCGACTTCTCCCACAAATGAACCGAAAAGGCAAAGTCTTCTCTCCCGATCTCTTTCAAAGCCACAAATCAATTTTACTGCGCTTGAAAGTACATGATTGCACTCGTTTCTAATATCGGATGGAGTGCAAGGGCTAGAATAGTATACATACTGGTATATCTATCTTTAAGAATACTGTCAATGATATGCATGCATAAAAAATCATTAGCACTCTTTTGAACACTAACGATTATCGATTGCACTCTAACGATCGATATGCGAGTTATCGGTATAATTGTTTCAGGCCTACTATTTTTCATATTAATATACACACTTCAAAAAAGTATATCCACTACAATGTAATTGTTTTGAAGTATCATAAGCACAATACCTACTTAGAGTTTGACTACAAGAAGGTTACGAATGTTTTCCCCGAAGGAAGTAATTTCATGCACAAACATGACCGCGAAGCACACTCTCCTAATAATCACCTGAGTTTGGTCTCCCAGTAGGACGCCTTTGCAAAATACACATCACCGATGCGTCCGCTGTCAATGATTTCCTTCACTTTGACAACCTGCCATGTCGAGAATATCCAATCAGGGCATGGAACAGAGACTGAAGTGGAATATTGTGTTTGTCACTGCGCAGCGAGCAGCGAAAGAGTGTAAAAGACGAATTTTCATGCACTCACATGCACACACATGCTCCTTTCAGAGCGCTAGAAACTCTGTCCAAAGTGAATTTTGACCATGGCACATCAGTCGTGGTGAGGTCCTAATATTTTTCTCAGCCTGCCATGGTTGTGGAGTGCAAAATTCCATACTCGTTTCCTTGGTTATCACGGGCTGCTGCCATGGAATACTGTAATATACTTTGTACAAACACGTCTAAAATTTGTGGACTCCTTCGTCAGCCCCTTAGCAACAGTTTAGGGTCAAGTTTTAGAGGTCAATGTTAGAACAGAGGCCGTGCAGCATGTCTGTGTATGATGGTCTAACCTGTAGGACCGAGGTCTATGCAAGCTATCATTACTGAGAGCTACTAGTGCTCCCCATCACTGTACTGTACGCATTCACGCACACAATTGATATTCTGTAGGCATCATGTTACGGAGCTTTCCGGAGCTCTGGGTTATTGGTTGTTTGAATAAAGCGAGATAGAATACCAAACCCGGCGCCCTCCCTAGTAAGGTCCATGTTTTTCACTGCCTTCGTCTGTGCTGGGTTTCGATGGCATGCTGTCGGCCGTGTATTACTCAGTTACTCAGTTGTTCGGTTCATTGCCCATTACTAGTATCCTCTCTCTCTCCCCCCCCCCACACACACACACCTCACTCCCAGTCTCTCTCTATCTATCTCTCTCTCTCTCTCTCTCTCTCTCTCTCTCTCTCTCTCTCTCTCTCTTTCTCTCTCTCTCTTCTTGTTGAGTGAAGGGCAGTGGGGCAGGTACCA